GGAAATCTCCAGATTCCCTGAAGCCAGAAAGTTCTGCTGAGACAGGATGCTCAAAGGCTAGAGTGAAACAGCTATGTGACCATTAAGTACAGCAAAAGATAGCCAGATAAAACATCACATAACCTTGCTAGGAACATTCATTTTTCTAGGATGAAACAAGCAGGAGAGGAGTCAGAACACCCTGCCACAATCTGAAGCAGCATACTTCCAGAGATAAGATAGGGATTTTCACAGCAACAACAGTTTGAAGCTGAAAATGTTTGTCTTCTGAAGGCTGTAGCAGTGCATGATCTGTCAGGCTGTTCACCACATTCACTTACCTCCTGAGATACTGTATTACTGACCACACAGTCATACACAAATACTCAAAATTAGGCTGATTTTGGCCAAGTAGGGTATAGCAAGAAGTTGTCCTATTGTCAAAGTCATAAAGCACAGTAAGACAAAACAAGTACTGTTCTCATCTTATAGGTGAGGTGGCATCGCTTGACTGAGGCACAGGAAATCACAGAAGCTCCAGTCACTGAATGCAGGTCTCAAATCCTTGCCTCTGATGGCCTGTGAGACCACCCTTCTGTGTGAGCCTCAAGGAGCACAGTGTCCTAAGCATGACAGGACTGTGCATTAGCCTGCAGATGCAAAATGATTGCTCAGGAGAAGGGTTACAATTCAGATGCCTGGGTTTACTGGGAGCTGGGTGCAACCATCCAGGCAGCAGAGATCCAGAGATTAGGTTGCCATTGAAACACCAAGCTAGAGACTTTATCCCTTCCTTCACACAGATAAATGGCATGCGATTTTTGTAAGTACACTAGGAGCTTCAGCCAGACTGCTGGAAAGTTGCCTGTTCACTTCATAGTGTGACAAAGCAAAGGCATATACTATGGCATGCAGAAGCTGAAGCCTTCACTACACAAATGGAGAGAGTTCAAGAGTAGATCTGCTGAGGGAGAGTCTCCAGCCAAGACTGCTCCAAAGCAACTCAGCACCCAAGCTAAATAAAGAGTCTGGAGTGGAGGGCAAGAACAGAGCAGCTCATCCCATCCCAGCCAAGATGACGACACTCCTGCAGAAGAAGCACAGCTGCCAGCTTCTCAAGAGCAAGTGAACAGACAGCAAGGACATCACACAACTGAAGCTGCTAGGCTAGGGATCTTACAGATACTCCTCTGTCAAAGGCTTGACCCTGAGCTGCAGTTTGTGCAATAAGGAAAAAGAAACATAACACGAATGAATGGGAGACAGGAAATGGATTAAATCCTCGTCTGGCTACACTGATGTCTGCTTGTAAGCAGTCTCTCTCTAACAGAAAGCCCCTCTCAGCTGTCACCACGAGGTTGAGAGATGCCTTTTTTTTTTGGCTCGTGTCCCGTTTGCTAGTGAACAGCCCGATAATGGGAAAGCTCTCCCAGATACAGTTGACTCCCTGTAAACAAGGGGATGAAAACAGTTTGTTTCAAGTTGCAGCTGGGAGAAATACTATAAAGCCAAAATAATGCCAATGGTTTACTGATGTTTTGCATTGCTTACAGACAAGCGTAATGCCCCATGAATCTGGCTGCGCTCCCACTTCAAGCACAGGCACTAGAAATCCCACTACAGAAGAACAGGGCCTGGAGTAAGACTGACGTTGTCAGAAGCTATAGACTGCCTGGAAAAGACAGAGATGCTGGTACAGAGAAGGTAAGGAGGAAAGAGAAACAACATTGTTTGATGGGTATGAAGCATTGGCCCTGTGGAACATGATTGCTGGACCTGTTATGTAGAGCAGAGTCAAGCAAGCGTTCATTAAGGATCACAGACAAAATAGAGAAGCTCCTTCATATTACAGGAACACGCTCAAGGACTGGTGACCTAGAGAAGGTGTTTAGTGACAAGATATTCTTTGCTTCCCCTTCCATGAAGCTAGCATAAGCCCTCTCCTGTGCTTTACAAAGTGTTGGAACAGGACACGATCAGATTTCATACTAGTCACACTGCTCTTCCCTGTTGATGGCATCGACTGAAGATATCCTTACTTAGGATGTCCCCCAAGAGATGAGTCCCTTGACCTCCCAAGGTATCAGGGCTTGCAGCATTTCTGGACTTCAATCCTGCAGTAGCAGGATTAGATGAAACATGGGTAGAGGTGTCCTTTCCTGTGAGAGCCATGGTGGCAAAGGAGCAATCCCATGGGCTCAAGTTCTGTCATGCCACATCCATAATTCTTTTTGGGAGAACTGAGTTTTAAACACAAAAGAGGTAATATTTACCCTAACCACAGAGCAGTTGTCTTCACCCTGCACCACAGACAGCATGCTCATTGCAAGAAAAAACTGATTCCTGAGAAAACCAGGACAGCTCCCAAGCAAACAGCAGTGTCACCCAAAGCTTTTAGACATGCAAAGATAGTTTTGGAGGTTTGGGTTGTTTGTTTTTTTTGTATTTTTTTTTTTATTTGTTTTGAAAAAGCAGGTACAGAATCACTCTCAAACCACTGGGTGGGGGGAGAAAAAAAAAAAAAAGTAGGGCACCTGACTTTTCTGTTCATCTTCTGTAAGAATTTTCAGAGACCTGTCGAAGGAAGTTGTGCAGCACAGGGGCTGGTATAAGCTTAGAAGCCCCTTCAAAGCCTGTTTCTTCAAAGAAAAATAAAGAAAACAAGTTATAACTTGCAAGGAACTGCACTAGCAATTGAGGTACTGAATAGAAGAGGGACTCAACTGCCTTGTGACTTTGGGGACTGTCTGTCTCATTGCTACCCTTGGAAGTTTTCATCTGAAAACAGGAGATAGGATTCACCTGAATTAGGAGAAAGATTGGCATTTCCTAAAGAGACAATATTCATTTTGGTAAAAGAGGTCCTTAAAAAATATTTTAAAACCTCAGCTTGACTCTGAGACACATCCCTAGGTGCTGGCAACATAACATTGATAGGCTGCCATGTAAGCCCAGGAATGAGACCTCAACCATACAACATGACTCAGGGTTACCAAATGTTGCCCACAGTAGTTACATGTCACAAGATCCATCATTTTCAGTGGCTATTTTTCATTCTGTTATCAGAAGTCAGATGTACTGCTGAAAACAAGCAACCACTTCTAAAAGATGCGTGGGGTGGGGATAACTTACCCAGCAACCCACTCAACTCTCAGGACCTCAGTGACTTCAGCGTTGTTCCTACTTGTTCTTGGGGCTCTCCCTTCCGTACAGTGGCATTTCCTTGGAAGGGTGCCATTAGCTTCGCTTGTGTTACCTCCCACTTGCTAAGGGAACAGAGCATTAGTGTCTGTCCTCCCATATCTTCAGGTAGGTTTCTTCATGGTGATCATCTTCCAGAAACAGGTCCTGTCAGCTGAGCTTTCACCACCTTAGATCTTAAATGTCAATAACCCCAGCTTCTTTTGATGATATTTTCACATAGAAAGAAAAATTGAGAAGTCTGCTGCCATTCTGCATTGTCTCCAAACAATTGGACTCGTCAGACAAATGAACCAAACTACATTTGAAACTGAAAACGTTCCATGAATAACAATTTTCACAACAGCACACACTACTCCTAAAGCCTCTGGGTTAACAATGTAAGAACCAATATATATGAGTAACTGCAGGAGCCCACAAAAAGGATTTTTACTAGTAACATGATCAATTGTGTAGTACTTATGAAACTACAGTTAACAAAGAAAAATAAGCAAGATTTTTGGCAATTTTAGGAGACAAGGTGAAAGCTCACAAGTTTCTAATGACAATTATGTGCATAAAAAGTCTGGGAAATTAAAAAGCTTCAACAGAAGTTTGGCCATGACAGTGTAAAATATTAAGTGTTTCAACCACAGCCTTGCATAAAACAAGACTAAAGAGACACCAAAGCAGATATATTACAAGTGAAAAAACTTAGACTGACCACTGGCCAAGTAGAAACTGGAGATCCAACTGTGGTAAGTGCCACATAGAAAATGTGAATTCCAGATGAAGAGTCACAAGAACAGATTGGGAAGGTGGATTTCCGAGCATTTGAGTAGTTCAACCACATTCTGGCTAGGTTATCAACTACAAGAGGACCTCAATCAGTGCCCTGTGGGTGAATTGGTAACTATAACAAAATGGCTAAGTTTTGTGAGCTGAATTATGTGCTTGTCTACATTGGGAATTGTTATAGAAGCTAGGTGCAAATTTAGACCACAATGGGTTTTTTTGCACCAATTCCCACGCGGGTGGGTAACGCTATTCTGCTCTAAGAATACCTTTCAGAGAAGGCAAAGCTCAACAATACAAAGACACTTTGCATACTGAAAGGCAGTAGCTGAGGATAGCTATTTCATATCTTGGTGGTTTGTCTGGGTTTTTTTCTTAAATGTAGGTGGGTTCCAGGACTGTAAATGATTGAAAGGCAAAACAGGCTCAGGGCAAGTTTTTGACAAGTCACTGTCTCTAAGCTTTGTTTCTCATTTGGGGAGAGTGGATGTTGTGCTTTCATGCATGTCTCTAAAAGATATTGAGATGCAAGAGTAAGAGGTGCTGTAAGGAAATTTTGCTCTGAAAGGTACAGGTCGCATCACCTTCATCCATCACCAGCCACAAGGATTTTGATCACAGCTTTCCAGTATACGTGATATTACCCTTAAAGACCTGAGTGTGATGATTCGATACCAACAAGCCACACAGTGCCATTAATCCAGCATCCCTGCTAACCCTGTTCAGTCACACTGCACTCCGTTGGACTTGACTTTTATTTAGCTTCATGCCTGACTACCAGCAGCCTCCTGTGCTGAGAAGTACAAACTGACATTACAACCTAATAAGCTAAACTGTTTCACATAGCTTGTCCCTACTACTACGTTTACCTTCATGTGTAAGTACTCTGCAGCTAACACCAGTGGCATTCTTTAGTTACACCACCACAAAGAAGGATGTCAGCATCTGACCCATTGATCTCAACTCTCTATGCAGTACTTAAAAGCTAAACAATTTAATGCGAAGTGCAGGAAAATTTGGGCAACATGAGACATGAAGATTTTTACCTCACTAAGTTGGCACAAGGTCCTGGCCACCGGCAGCTCTGATAAACTCGCTGGATCACTGTTTCTGACCCATTCTGCACTTGGCAGGAAACTGTCCGTGTAACTGTATAGTGACACCAATGCCTGTAGAGAGAAAGGACACTGTTAGCCCCAATAACACAGCAAGCTGAACCAACATATATCAGACTGCAGTAAAAACACACCAAGTATCTGGGGGTGGGGTTGTTTCTTCTGCCAGCCATAGCTAGCCTAACTCGCAGTCTTCATTTCTCACCCCGCCCTCTCCTCCCAATAGCTGCAGAAAGATTCCCTGCTTCTGCCAACATGAACCACGAGAGATCCAGTAATGCCTCTTGCTAGGTCCTCAGAGGCCAGAGTTTTATAGTACATAATTTAGTTCTGTTAGTTATCATAAACAATAGGGCTTTAGAGAGAAAAAAAAAAAAAAAGAAAAGAAAAGTGTTCCAAATCTCCTGATAGTCAGTTCCCATTGTACTGGTCTTAATTTCACCCTGCTCATTATGGTATCATTCCCCAGCCTCCTACCATTCCGAACAACATCCGAGTTGGAAAACTCAGCTTTTTGGTGTGGTGGAGCTCATTGTCAGCAGGGCTCAAACAAGCTGGGTACCAAACAAGTCTATTACTGTCCTGGTGAGGTTACAGTCTAAAAATGAGCAAGAAAAAATGCAGGGGAGGGAGGAACTAGTGTCTTATGCTGTCTCATTAAAAAAAAAACAAGAGTGAGAGAGACCTCCTCACTGCAAGGTGTACAAGATGACAGGCACTGCAGCGTCAGCCCTGGGAATGAGGACCCATTGATCCTTTTCCACCTTCTCTGAAAAAGATCTTTCTAGGTTCAGTATCGTGCTTCGGGGAGGGGGGGGGAAGGATACTTTCATTTTCCCCTTGCAAGCATCTTTCATCTTTGCCAAATACTAGTTCACATTTTTGCTTTCATACCTCGGTGTAGTTAACAGGTTTGAGAGCCACTTTCCTGCTGATTGGGGATTAGAACTGGGGTCACTAATGGAAAGCGGACACACCAGCTTGTGCTCCAAAACATATAAAGTGCTTCTGTAAGCATTCCCTGCACATGCAGAAGAGTCCTGGCTCTTCATCCCCCAAGCTTGCATACCAAAAATCAAACTGCTTGCACAGTGGAAACAGGCACCTGTACACCCCCTCCTCCTTCCCTAACCCACCTTCCCCATGGCAGTTTAATTTTTCCATTATTTGCCATTTATAGCATTTGTTTCTTTTTGTTTCCTTTTTAGATTCCCCTCCAATCTCCGCAGGAGGCTCCCTGCTCTGTGGATAATTCTCATTTCCATGAATAGGAGGTACACGTGCCAGCGGCTGAGCCGAGAGCTGCAGACCACAATGGCCAAGCTGGGGCCAATGGGCTACTCACTGAACCTTCAGCTACAGCCAGACGGGTGAGCTGGGGCACCCGGAGAGAGGGTGGCTTTCTACCCACTGCTGTTGAGGCAGAGTCATGCAGCTTTCCCTGCAGACACTGCTCCTGCACACTGTAAACCCGCTTGCAATTCCTCATCAGGAAGCATGGACTGCAATCACATCTCAGGTGAACCTAGGCTGGCAGGGAGGTTTTAGAGAACTACTTCTCTCAGATTTATTGAGGATCTGTGGTGTATATATAGGGATTGAACACTCTAGTACCCAAATGTCTCTACTAACATCTACATCATAGAACCAAAGGGCAAAACGGGGGGAAAATATAAGATTAATGAAGCTTAAGATCACATGATGATAGCAGATCCTTTAACAGGCTCAACAACTTCTGCACAAAGTTTAGGGACCAAAACCAGAAGAAACAAAGACAGGAGCTAAAGAGTGGAAATGTGATAATTCAAAGCAAAGATTTCTTTTAAATTTCACATGTACACATAGTGCAACTGGCCATTTTGTCTCTTCAAGCCTTAGTCACGGGGTTTGTTCAGACAGGTATTACTGGATAAGATCTCCTCATGCCATGGGAACAGCCAGTTGAGCATGGAAGGAAAAGCAGCCAGGAGAAAGGGCAAGTACCAGAGGGGTTGGAGAAACCATAGCTCTGCATTATTTACCTTGAGCATGTTTTTAGCACAGTGCTTAAAGCCATCAGAAGGACAACACTTCTGCACAAGCCTCAGGGCAAGAGCATTTCATGTCAGGCAAAACAAACTGCACATATACAGAACCTGACAGAATAATGGTAGAAGCATATGTCCTAAAATTACAAAACCCAAAACTTCTCATTAACACGCAATGAGGAAAGGAGTTGGTCCCACCACAGGAGAGGAATGAAGCAGTAGCACACATGCTAGCAACATGTAACAGAGCATGAAGGGACATGAATACTAACAAATTCAGAATAAAGTTACTGAACATTTTAAAATAGAACATATTTTCAAGGACTCAAGTGCCTCCCCTCATGTTAAGACCATTTTTCTGGTTTGTCAATGATAAACAAACATTTGATTTATTTGGATATATGTGCTATGCTTTAACTGTTGTGTAGCTTGTGTGTTTGTCCCTCTGGCCTTTTGTCATCCCAGAGTCATCTAGGAAGAAGCACTGTTTCCATGTTGTGGAGCTGGATTATCCTACACTCTAATACTGATTTTGGTGGGCTTCTGAGACAACCTGTCCCACCTTCGTGGGTACACACAAAGCACTTTTGTCAGATTAAAAAAAAATAAATTCAACTGCACTCTGAGCAAAACCCTCCATATCTGATGCTGAAACTAGAGCGCTTCATATTCCTGAAGGCCAGTGAGGTGGGAAGGTGAACAAAGACAAACACCACAACACACCCCAGCACAATGCAGAAGAGAAAGGCAGGCATTGGAGGCTAACTCCACAATTGCCAGAGAGCATCTGGCAGCTTATCTGCTCTGCTTAATGTATAACGTGTATAATGGCAGCTCCAAATCGCAACTCCTAAGGAGAAACTGGAAACTGTTACGCTCTTTAGCTTTCCCTTGCATAGACCCAGATTTAACATCATCTTGCTCCTTCAAGGATTATTTTCAACCAACTTGGGAGTCTACCACTACGTTTGTGGATTTGGAGCTAAACAGGTGGCACTGTGCAGGCTGCCTCTGTCAAAAACTGCAAGAAAGGTTGATTGTTTTAAGCTACCTACAAAGCTGGTTTTGCCAGGGCTTTCATGCAGTGGGTGCTGCCGGCATGCACACAGATTTTCTTTCCAAACTAGTCCAAAACTTCTGTGGTCAGAGTAGGTCTCTTGCACCTTTGCTCTACCTGGTCCTTAGAATAAGCTGTTTAGGTACATGTATCCCCTCGCAAGGAATTTGGCAATCAAATCATCATTTCTGCCTTGGAAAAAGCCTTTCTTAGAAGTGAGACGTGCTGGATGGACCTTATTACAACCTAGTGACACAGCCTTAGGCAGCAGTTGGAGGTAAAGGCTGCTCCCACACTGCAGAAGCCTGCTCATCCGTGGGGGGAGAAACCCAACACTTTCCCAAGTTCATTTCTTCAGATGACCTGTTCAGGAACACGTTATAAAAGGAAGCAGTCATTACAGCAAGCGAGAAGCTCCCCTGAGGCTCTCCATTCATTGCCTTCCTTGCCTGAAGCCATCACCTGGGTTTGCCAGGCTGAACAGGACCGATAGCCCGTGGCAAAACAACAGATCCTTCGCTCAAATCAAGGGACAACCTTCCACCTTCCTCAGCAGGAGCACTGAGAGTGCAGTGACAGTGATAAAGTACCACTGCACTTGTCACCTCAATGCTCTGTCTTCTCTAAAGCAGAACCTGCATGGATCACGAGGGCAAAAAATGGTCATACCCCAAAGATATTCTGATAATCTGACACAAACACAGATTTCTCTAACTTCTCTCCTTACCAACAGAGGGAAGAGTTTGGTTATACGGGTACCCACCCAGGAGTGAAAAGTACATTTCCATTTACAAAACATCACACACCTGGCTTCCCATAAATAGCATAATTTTCCTACAAATGCAACTTTTAGGTGTTTGGTTTTTACTGTGGCTTAGAAGCAGGTGAGACAGAAAGACAGGAACATAGCTGATCATAAGTTGCATTAGGGTATATAGCTTGGGACTCACTGTAGGTATAATAGCACAGTGACTACAACAGAAAGACGACAGACAAACAAAACCACTCCAAGATTTCTCTTTGCAAGCCAAAAGTCAGCAAGAACAGTCTCCAGAAAGCAAGCAGGCTTCAGACCAAGTGATGAAAGGCCCCATCATGGCTTACAGAGATTATAAATGACCCTTTATATTATATACAGATGCTAGCAAGAAAGGTTTAGGACTTTTACTGGCATGCATCCAGCATGGCAGAGAATATATTGCTGCTTATTCAAAAAGAATATTCCAACCAAGCAAACAAAATTATCCAAATAGCAGCTCCTTTAGGGTTGGATCTGTCAGATCTCATGCATGCTCATCACTAGCATATTTAGCACAACGCCTTGCAGCGCCTTGTGGAATTGGTCTTCCACTGCTTCGTTTAGAGGGGCAAGTCTCACTTGGTCCATTCTCCCCAGCCGTTTCCAAAGAGACACCCTCCTCTCACACCCTGTTTAATTCTTGGAGGACTTTCATGGACAACTGAGGACCTGCAGACCACGGCCTGCAAGCTACTGATTTAGACAGTTTCAGTCCAGGGCTACAGACCAAGATCTTACATCTTGATCACAGCTGACAACATGTCAATCCAAAGGGAATATGAGCATTGATGCCAGCAGATACGCGATCATATTTACTGTGTACGTTCAGGACGTTACTGTGGACATTTCAGGCTAACTAGAGCAAACTCAATAGTTTGCTTCCATTTGGAGATACTCTGAAAACTGTTATTCTGAGCTTAAAATGGACCCTTCTCCTCAGCAGATGCTGGGAGTGAGTTATTGGTTCTCTGTTGACTCAGCAGGAGCAGTGCTGCATGGCTTCAGGCACCCAAACTCCAGAGGAGACAAGAAAACCTCATTTTCCAGAGCATGCATGGAACAGGCTGAGAGGACCTCAAAGGGCAGCTGGACTTCACACAGGGAGCTTGAGCTCCATTTTGCTTCTGCAGGCAGATGCCAGGGAGGAAGCCATATTCTGCACCCCACTGGC